TACTTAAGACGCAACCACAATAATAATGTTGTTTCATGGGAGTCTTTTTGCTGCCAAACATCCTCTTTGAAGACCAGCTTTTTTGGATGTGGGTGGGATGTGGGAGCATCATGATGAGGGGATCTACGACTGGTTTGCGCATCCAAGACGAAGACCTCCCTTTGTTGGCCCTTCTGGCGCAACATGGCCTTCTTGGCCCTCCTTGGCCCGAGAACGATTGTGTTGTTTTGATTGTTCACAGTATACTCGCAGAATGGTCTGCAGTATGGGCAGTCCGCGGGGGTTGGAGGGTGACTTCGTTCGTTTCCCCATTGCTGTCCAGATGCATGGTTGGGTGAACATCATCAGTCAGTTCCTTTCTTGCCTCATAGCAAACTATATTAGACCGACCTTTCTTCCTCTTTTTCTTAGTTTCCAATAGCGATGGCCTCCACTTTTCCGCTTTTCCGCAAGATACTGGCACCGCAGCTTATGGCGGGGGTGACCAGAAACACGAGCTACGATCTAGAGCAAGATCACGTCAATGTCCTTCCCACAAACATAGGCGGCTTTGAAGGTCAGGAGGTGTTGTTCGATTGCCTGGAACCGACGTGGGGCTATGCGGCAGCACACACAATGCGCCCAGAAGGTCGTCACTTTCGAGGAAGGCCGAGCATAGCTTGAGGCCAGCAAGGTGGCCTCGCTTTTGTGTACACGCAAAAAAGGAGCCTGAACCATTTAACCCTATGCACAAGCTCATATACATTGGCTTCGGCACGTTCGAACCAGCTCCAAACTTTGTATTTATTGGAGGGCCTAACACCCCCAACACTGGTGCGCAGCACAAAATCAAGGTCTAAGTATAACCATGGTGGAAGCGAACTTCGGCTGATGGTTCTATCAGACTACGTGACCATTCGGATAGCTGCGGCCAAACAGACCCCACCAACTTCGAGGTGGCAAGTTGTGGGTAGACCGGGAGAGGCGCGATGGTGGCCTCAGTGAGTGGCAAAGGATAGGGCACCGATGGTGGGTCAATCGGTATCGTCTTTGCCTCACGAATCACTGCTTCTGCACTTACTTGGACGATGGTCTGATGGATTTGGTCTCGGAGATTCCAAGCAGCCTCAATGGCTGTGACAGCCTTTTGCCACAACAGAACTTTGCGGGTAGCGTGTACTCCACTGTGCACAATGGTCGGCATTGTCATTGCCTGTATAGGCCCAGTGCTCCACAAAATCTGCCCCTACCTTGCTTTGATGGCTCGCAATTTTGTGGACCGTGACGAGGTCGGATGGGACAGACCTGGCCAGCGTCAGGAGGATGGTCCACAAATCTAGGTCTTTACGGTGGGGCGACAGCTATCTGGGTCGAGCAAGGCTGCTCTGAGAGTTTCAACGAGGAGTGCATTGTCACTCCAAATCCGGACTGTGTGTCCATGGCGGAGAACATATCGCAGGGCACTAATGGCAGACAGGATTTCAGCCCGCAGGCTTGACTGCTTCCATCCTGGCGCGATGCCTGCAAGAGGGTGCCATTGGTCAGTGGCACTTGGATCTGCTGCCACCACACCCCACCCTGCAATGCGGGTACAGGAACCATCAACAAAGAGGTTGGTCGGCGTGAATGGCAGGCACTCGAACTGGTCTGTGAGGTCAATTCAAACAAAGCTTTTTGTAGTTCACGGACTTCTGGCGGGAGGCCTATCCAACCATGATAAATATGATAGGTGAGGCATTTGGGCAGGCCTCTTTCCAACACTTTGCTAGCGAGCCAGGGATACGGTCGGGCGCTTGCAAAAGGCGAACATTCCCAAAAGCGATGGTATTGCGAGTCGGACTGCCCGCAGAACTTACAGATTAGGGTATGAGCATTCTTATTACGCAGCTGGGAATCTGCTGTAAAGAACGTTTTTCGGAGGAGACCTAATTTGTTTTGTGGCAAATTCCGGGTTTTTTCCATGGTGAAGGCCGGATGAGCCCATTCGAGACCTTGCAAGGTTTTCCTTGCGCATACACTTACCTCTGGGCGAGGTGCTGCCACCCTTCACAGAGGCTGTGTTGGATTTCGGCGGAGGATCCATGGAACAAGTCAATGGGCATCTGTGCATGGTCTGTCATCCAGCCATGTCCAATCCATTGCCAGCCTATGGAATGTAGGCGTTCCAGCAGCACATGGCACGGGCCAGGGCGATGGACCAGGTCGGCCCAGTTGCGCAGGATATTGTCTATCAGCGTACTGACTTTGTCCAAATCAGCATGCCTACGAAAGGTGTGGACAGTTCGTCCTGGATCTGTAAGAGGATGCTCTACCAGGGACAAAGGGACCATCGGACTGATACCGGGTGCGTGGGCTGCAGGCCCGTAGACCTCTGCACGCTCCTGCGCTTGGGGCCACCCTTTGACTCGAAGGGCGTACGCCTTGTGTCGATAGACTTGGCAAGTGCAATCCAGACTTGGGACATGGCTGAGATTCGCTTGCGCAAGACATGGTTGGTGGTGCGCTTGCCATACTCCATGTGGGCCCCCAGGTCCCGGGCCGACGATTGGAAGGTCGACATCTCTAGCGATGGCTCGTTCAGTGGATGCGGTAGACCAAAAATAGGTCTTGGCATGATCGAATTGCAAGTCCAACAGGTCACAGAATTGAGTCATCAGCTGCATCCCATGTTCTGCTGCCTCAATGGAGGGAGCAGTGAGTTCAAGGTTGTCCACATAGGACCATAGCTTAACTGAGGGGTGGCGAATACGAAGCCATCTGGTCAAGGTGATATTAAGAGCTTAGGGCCTATGGTGCCTCTCACACTAAATGCTCGGGTCAATTGGCTGAGGGCATTGGCCCACGCTCGGATTATGGGCTCAGGGAGTCCGAGCCATTGCTCCGGGCAAAACGCTCCCTCCCAAGCCATTTGCCAGCTCGGGTGCACCTGCTGGAAGGCGCGTGGGCCGACACCTAGCGATGGCCTCCAACATAGAAGCGATGGCCTCCAACCTGGCAGCGATGGCCTCCAACCTAAGAGCAAACCAACCATTAATGGTAGATATATAGTTGAATTCTACAGTGGCTTTTTGTTCTTTTATCGGCGTGCGTGTTGTGTTGTACGTTTTGCATGTCCTGTATTTTCTTGCGTGTTGTCTTGTGCATTCGCTCAGGGCGGCTCACAGCGGCTTACCGTGGATCATGTTTTGACGAAAATAGAGCACGACAAGTGGACGCTACTAGCAGCTCCTGGCATTACTACTAGAAAAAGAAACTACTAGGAACAAAGGGCATCACTACTAGGAGCAAGAAATTAGCAATTAGGAGCAAAAAACTACTCGCTGCTAGGAGCAAGAAGCTGCTAGTAGCTCCTGGCATTACTAATAGGAGCAAGGGCATCGCTACTAGGAACAAGAAGCTACCAGTACTAAGAGCAAGAAACTACTAGCAAGGGCATCGCTAGTGGTAGCTTCTTGCTACTGGCTTGGTTGACCTGACTTCCGTTCTCCCAGATGCCGTCCGCTGTCTACGTTTGCCTACTGTTTGACCAAGCACAATTTCTATCAATGTCTTGTGCTCGAAGTCTTGTAGCTTGCCCTTTGTATCCACTATATAATCCTGGTGAGATGTTTGCATCCAGTGAAGCCAGTGAAAGACCCGGGTCATCAAAGCCGGCATGTGATATAGGGTTTTCACATGTTGGAAGCGTTTACTCCATTCTTGCAACGCACCGGGGTCCACCACAACGCAACAGGGCACATATTTTGATTGGGTTCCCAAAGCTAGACTGATGGTGTCCTCTTTGAACTTCCTGTGAACATCTGTTGATTGCCACAATATAGCCCAATGAGTTAAAAACTGGGGACATCTTCTGTTGATTCAATGATCGTTCTTCAATGTTGCTCATTGTCGTCCAGTCCAGTCCAACGGGGGTGCTTCCAACACGTCCAGGTGAACCATTCCGAACATCGGCATTTCAACACGGTGCTGATCCAGAAGGCCCAAAGGGCCAAAGCGGCTGTTGAAGACAATGGATGATTGTTTCATCAAGTTGCTAAACTTCCAAGCGGCCAAACCATCGTGTCGCAGGTGTCCCTCGAAATTGGCCCGTCAACAAACTATATAAGACCTGGCCATTGTAGCAAACCCCTGAGATTTTGTGACACGCCATGCTAATTACTCCATGCCTCTGGCTTATAGATATGCCAATGCAATGCAATCGTCGAGATCATCCACCGAGCCACTCCAGGTCTTGCTTGGGAATGTCATGGCGCTCTGGCTCCAAAGCTCCTTCTTGGCAGGGAGCCCGGTGGCGCTCGCTTGACCCCGCTTGACCCCGTGGTGGACGAGTCCTAAGGTCGAAGGTTTCCTTTCACCCGTCACATGTAAGGCTTGAAGCACAGTGACAAGTGACTCTGTGCAGATGGTCTGATCTTTGTAGCAACCATCCAGGTTGGACATTTTGAGGTTCAAACCTAAGTGTCCGACCCCTCCCATTGGCGCCCCATCCAGTCGAGAACCGACCATGGCGGAGGCCCTGACCTTTCAGCATGGCATGTCTCAGGCCCGAATCAAGGTGCGATGCGTCGTCCGTGATGTGGCCGAAAAAGCGACGGCTACTCTGAGCTTTTGTTTGGCAGGAAACACACCTTGGAGCAGGTCTTCTGCTGTTCTTTCAGGTTTTTGCAGGACGTCAGGTTTTCTGAATGAGATTCAGGCAAGCAAACAAAACCAGGTTGAGGTTGTGGGAAGGGTTTGACTCCAAAACATAGAATCGCGCACCCTCCAGGGAAGTGCAGAGAGGCTGCTTTTGGACATTTGGTTGCCAGCTGCTTCCCTCCACGCATGCATCCAAAACAATTACAGACTTTTGGGTGCTAAGATAAGGGTAGTTCTAAGCCGCAACGGCCTGCGATTTTGAGGAAGGTGTCCACGCACAGTTCCGTCAAGCGCCACAAAACACAGATGATGAAAACAGGGTCTGACATGGATGAACATGAACTAAAGCAAAAGGCAATCACAATGGGGGAACACCAAGCACCATGTGGGCCGCTGAACAGTTCATTGAAAAAGGCTTAGCTGCTTACTGTACCCATGAGGACATGATTGGCAAAGCACCCAAACAGCTCTGGTGCTTTCTCTACAACTCCTCTGACATTTGCAGCTTTGCTAGCAGCAGCATCGTGTTTTCCCAAAAAGCTCCCAGACTCTCCACGTGCCAGCTGGCCATCAGCATGATCTTCTCCGCACTCCAAGCAGCAGTGCGCTGCTACCGGGCAGGGCAAGCCCAGTGGGGCGTGGTGTGGGAGGAGCAGAAAACAGCGGTATGGCATACATCAAGTTTCCCATGGTTTTCCCTTGCAGTTTGGTTTGGAAATGAGACGAGCTGAGGAAAGACACACTGTTGAGGTTCTTTGTATTCATCTATCTTGAAGTGGACGTCAGTAAGCGGCTTTGCTCAGGCACTTGTAATTATGAACTTGAAAGCGACTTAACTAGCACCTGCCCTGCCTAGCTCACCACATCAGGGGCGTGTTCAAAGCCCCGAAACTTAGGATCTGTGACAGGGACTTAAGTATTCCAGCGGCTCTGCCGACTTCATCCAGGACACAATTCAGATTATAGATCACGGTGGATAGTTGCGCACTCTCTTCATACATCTCCGGAATCTCTATTTGCCAGCAATTCTCCATAAAAGCATCTCCGTCACCCGTGTCTTCACGCAACCATCAATCCCATCTCCGGTGTTTGAACCGGGGAGACCTGCACAGGTCTCCACGCAGACGGGCGTCTGTGGCTTGTGTGTGTCCGTTGTCGTTATGCCTCGCTGGCGGCGTTTGGGACGATGGACCGGGGTCGTCGATCGTCGTTGTGGAGCCGAAAACGTCCGCTTGATTTCGGAGTGCGGCTCGCCGCTCGGTGGTGCGAGCATGGTGGCCTTGACCGACCCTGCGGTCCGACCCTACATGTTTCACATCCACAGCCTGAGTTCGCAGTCTTTGAGTCCGAACGAGTGGTTTTCGGAATGTTCTCTACTCCGGGCCGGAACTGCACCTCTTTTGCCAACAAAGTATATTCAATATGGACGGATCACTGCTGACGTGCTGTCGGAAAAGAACAGTACGGACAAACCTGGCCAGGTTTGTGCGAACAGTGAAGCTCAGAAAATAAAGAACGTGGCAACCCTTTTGACCCCTACCAGGTGGTGAGTTGCAGGTTTGCAAAGGAACGGTGTGAACCCTGACTATCTGTGACTTATCTCCGTTTTGGGTTCGCCTAAGGGCTGGGCTGACTGATGTGTTTCCTCAAATCGATCCGAGTGCGCCCATTCACCCAGACCGCAAGCGCGCTCCGAAAATGGGTGTTTCGTTGGATTGCTTGTAGGAGATGGAGTTGCCTCAGTTAGACCAACGAAGGTCCCGAGGGATGTGACAGTAACTACCCCACATTTGACAGTCGCATTTGCTTGAGTCCAAGTCGCCTCGCCAGGTTTTTCGTGGCTTGGTCCTTCGTGAAGGCCAGCTGATGAGAGACCTCAGAGCACTTTGCAGTCCCAACTGCGAAACCCAAAGGGCTGCGGCTGCCAAGTCCTTGTTTGCACATGTATATTTTGAGTCTATTAGTATTTTCTGTGAGGCTTTCCCCCAAAGCTCGTCCTTGGGCAAAAAACACATTAAATGATCTAACATAATATGAACAGGCACACCGAAGGGAGGCTTCGGATGCTCGTGTCTCCCACATTCCCAGTCCTGTCTCTTTTGGTCCAAGTACTTAGACATCGGTTTTTAGATGTGAGGTCTGGAAGGCCTACACCTGCGAAGATCACCTGCGCGGACGCCCGAAACAGCTCGCTGTGCTTTTCAGAAATGCAAAGCGATTCTTCTGAAGGAGAGAGTGGTGGTTCTGCCAATTATATATCCAGCATGTGGGTTCATCTGAACGTGGAACATTCGGGTCAGGGTGACTAGGCATCACCAACAGAGAGGATGTGGGCGACTTGGCGGCTGGTGCCACTGACAAGGTGCTCAGTGCTGAGGTTGCTTGAGATGCTCTCACACCTGATTTGACAGAGGCAAACAGCCTATGTTGCAGGGGACCGAATCTGTACATCGTACTGACAATGTTCTGAGTAAAACATACAAGAAAACACGGAGAGAAAACAACCCCAGCGAGCGTTGCCAGGGTCTTCAGATGAGTTCCTGTGTGTGCGTGTCTCAAACAACCTGACGCAGGGGTCGTTCCTTCCTTGGTTCGCTTTCTTTTGGTTGTTCCGTCACGATCGTGCAAGCCGAAGAAAGAGTCACGTTCGTTCGTCACGATCTTTGTGTCAATTCGTCAAGTTTCGCCCCATCCTCGTAGCATTTGTCATAATAGCCTGTGTTTCTGCATGAACCTTCTACCTACACCTCCTTCAATTGGAAGAGACTCAAGTCGAAGAGACTTCACGATTTGGAGACGAAAAGAGGTGCCACGTATGTGCCTTTTTACGTAGGATGCCCCGTCGAGGGATGTGGGGTTTGCGTGGAGGTTGAAGCTGAGTCGAAGCTGAGTTGAGACGTGGGGAATTCAATCAAATTCGGGTGAAGCCCTCAACCAACTGGCTGGATTTTGGGGAATTTTCTTCAAATCTTGGTGCTCCAACGACTGGACTGCCATCAGCCTTGGGAGAATCAGTGGATTCCCAAGAACCGTCAGGGGATTGAGCCAGCACCGACTTGCCGACCCAATCTTTTTGCGCGTTGCAGCGCTGAGGTGGAATCTGACCACTGGATGTGTGACAGCTGAGGAATATGACATCATTCCTCGTTGGTCGGGCCAGCACAACATGGGGACTAGGTGACCCTCCCGTCGAAGTTTTCTCAGGCAAGGAGACCACAGCCCTTCGACCGTTTCTTTTTGTTCTCAAAACACGCTTCTATAGAGATTGTAAAACTAAAGTCGAAGAGGGGTCCAAGAGGGTCCACATTTTGCAGATGTCCAGGTTGAGCAGACAAACAGTTTTTTGACACGGTGGACAAATCTTTGCACAAAAATGATCACACAGCGTCGTAAAGCCAGGCCTTGGACCTATTCCAATCCTTCGGTAGCTTTGGAAGGGAGTACCGCTCAAACGATGAGAGCTCGACAAGGGAGAACAAGTCGACATCAGGCTGCCCAGCATGGGCACGCTGGTCTCACCGCCCAAAAGTGGCAACCTTGTGCCGTCGGAGAGGTGTTTGCCGAAGAAAGCTGCATATTTTACGATATTTTCATGTTCATGATTCGCTCAAACGCCTCGCTCATGTGTTTGACGGAGCTGCAAAGAAGCATCGAACGCAGATCGAACACCAACGACCCCCACGATGGGCACCAGAGGTTTTCACCGTAGTCCTTTCGGACAACTGCCCCAGTTGTTGGAACGTCAGGCAGCCTCGTGTCTCTTTATGAATTTTTCCGAGCTTTGTTTGTTACTGTAATGGCTCATGCAGGTGTGCGTGCTTTCAGATTGATCAAGTAAGATTGACCCAGTTAGATTGTGACAATGAGATCTTCAGAATCTGGGGATTCCGCCGCTGGCACAGATGTGAACGTTTTCAGGACTTTTCCCGAAGGGCTCCAAGGCGCATGTTCGCTTCGCACATATGTTGCACACAGCAAGGCAAACGCTGTTGTTCATAAATCATCAGGATTTGGAGCTCTTTGAGGGACTCGGGGACTACATGCATTCCAAAGAGAACTGTAGTCACGTTGCTCAAAGAAGCGCTTTGGATGATGCATCTGTTAGCGACGCGTAGGGCGATCCAACATTTTGGAGCCGATTCTGGGCTATTGTGTTGCTTTGTTCCCTTGATGATTGATGATGCTCTTGTGTATTATATGGATTATATGGGTTGAAGACCAGGGGCAGTATTGGGTCCTTTTCGTGATTGGTCCTCGGTCGAGAAAAGCATTGTCAGTTGGTTTTGACATCTGTAAGCAGGGCAAGACCCTCAATAGGAGGTTCCAAGGATGCTTAAGGTTGCTTGTTTGAAAGTTGCTGTGAACTTCCAGAAAAACGACTTGCATCACCTCAATTTCCTGGAGACTTTTGCGAATTCTCACACGCATGAACACGCTGGGACCATGGGACATTATTGAACACCACCTACTGATTCCAAAACATACGCAAATTTAGGACATGCCACTCCGCCCATGTCAAGAATGTGCTTCCAATGTCTGCCGTCTGCCAAGACGGTCAGTCGACCGCTCTTCACTCGGCTTCGTAGCCACTTGAGAGACCGTGGACCGGTGTGACAGGTTTTGACCGGCGACGTGCTTTTTCCTGGCATCAACAGCGAATGGACTATGGAATTTGGCTATGCAAGAATGTTGGATGATGTTGGATGTGGTTTTGACATATTTTGACATGTCTTTTTGGATTTGTTGGTCGATTCACCAAAGCTCTCGTACTATTCTTCCAATCGCCCCTGCAAGCGTTTGCAGAGCTTCATCTTGCGCGGAAAGTAGAGTCTCGAAAACGCTGTGGAAAAGGTACCGTGGTCTGGGCAAGGTGAAGCCACTCGTGGTTGGCGGAGATTTTGTCGTGTATCCTCTTGCGAGCCTAATGAGGGCCTAATGGCCTAATGGTATGAACGTGGATCTGTGTTTGATTCGTGGCGAACCAAAAGCTTCCATAGTTGACTTCCTCATTGAGCAGACGTGGAACAGAGACAGAATAGGAATGGTCTAAGTTACGGTCTAAGTCTAGAGCAAAAGCGAGTGCCCTTTGCCCAGGACACCACAACAATGTCAACAGTCAACGATGAACATCCACCTCCAGAGTAAAATAGAAGACAAGCCATCACCGTGGACTGTCAGGCATTTGACACAAAGAATCCAGGCCCAAGAGTTCCGGACTTTCAACATCTGCCACAACATTGACAAACCGCAGGTAGACTTGACCCATAGCCCGGAACCTTCTAGATCAAGCGGTGGACACCTCCGGGCCTCCGCTTGGGCCGTGCGAGCTTTCTTTGTCAACGGTGTCAAGGGACCGGCCGGTGGCAGGTGGCCCAAACAGGGGGGTTACTGGGTACAGTGTTTCGGCCAAGTCGGTTTCGCCCCCGCGGGGGGATTTTGTGGGATCATTGGAGCTTTCCTCCAGAAGACGATCCTCACTGAAGGAGATTTCATGGAAGAGCATTGGTATGCTCAAGAAGGTTAAAACCAAATATGACATTTCAGACACTTTTATGATTTCCCAATTTTCACGCAGCCTACGGCAGGATCCTAGGAGCCCGAGCAATCGCCACATCGGACTGACCGTCAGAGTCATCACGCGAAGAAGTGCAAAGGCTCCATATTCGTGGCCAAAGAAGTGTAGGGTCTAAGTTCTCTTAAGGGCATTGGATCAAATTCACCTAGGAGCAAGGACGCTACTAGGGGCTCCTGGCATCGCTACTATAGGAACAAGAACGCTACTAGGGGCTCCTGGCCTTACTACTAGGAGCAAGGACGCCAAGAGAACACCTTCGCACATCTGAGTTTCTGCTTGCCAAAGCCGCTGGCATGGCTTGCCCTGATGAGCCGACGTCCTTTCTCGGTGGCTTGGCTCCGAGCTTCGCTTTCGGGAAGGCATTCAAGTGGTGTCACTTACGAAGGTCAACTGATTGGGCATGTTCACAACTGTTTGATGGCGCTTTGCCCAGCTGGACACAGTGTTCCTACTAGTTTAATAGTTGGCTTCATCAAGACAACCGGGGGGTTCCTTCAGCAGTCTGACGTGGTGACCAATTGGCGAAACTAGGTGATGGCAGTAAATGGCAATGGCCCTTTGGAGCTATTCCTTCAAAAACTGTGAATTGGTTTGGACTTCTGGAAAGCCTGGCAGGACTCTTCAACAAGTTGAGCTCCGTTGACAGAATCAGAAGCGCCAACCCCAAACCTGATCGAAAAATCCTTGGCCTCAGCGGCCTCATCCCTTCCAGGCGGTGGCCGAGCGCCTGCGGCGGCTCTTCCTAGTGACCTCGCCTGGACTGGAACGCAGCGCCTTGGTCAAGCGGAGGTGGAATGTTTTGCTGTGCTGAGGTTGCGAATCGAGCTTCCAACACTCCGAGACTCCGAGATGTCGAGCTATACAGAGCATGAGCCTTCCAAAGTCCAACTGCATCATGACAATCATGATACATCTACGGTGCTTATATACATGCAACCTTCGCAACAACTCGCGAAGAGGGTGGCTCCTGTTCGGACCTTTTTGATGTGGAATCCTGCCACAGTAGTAGACAACATGTGCGGAATGCCAGTGTGGTTGATTTGTAGCTGCTGATGGTTCCGCCCTTTTCGGACCAGTCACGGGGAACCGGGACAGGCCATAGTCTTCAAGGGACCTTTTGACCACGCCCTATGGCACCAATGCCACGCTGGGCTCCCGTCCGGAACACGTGAGGCCTGGAACGAGAGCTCCAAGTGCTACAGATCCCAGGGCATTTCGAGCCGTTGCCCGGAGGCAGACCGGGACGTTGCCCGGAGGTGGACGAAGACCGGAATTCAACGAACGAATTCTTGGTCCTTCTTTTGATTCCGCGGACTGCGTGCAGAAGGGAGTAGATGACCTATGACATCATCTCTTATCATCATTCATCGGAAGTGGCGAACTCGAACTCGTTGAACTAGTTGGGTCAAAGACCAGGATCTCACAGGTCCCTTTGTAGCCTAACAATAGAACATCCTTTAAAGGAGTAGTTACAGTGATGTACTGTCTTTTGGAAGCAATGCCGCAGCCCTAAAACAAGACGTAGCACAGTATGTCACATCAGCACCACCAGTTGGAACAACAGCCATGCACCTTTCTTCAACTCTGGACCAGGCGTGGCGGTGTCGGGCTACGACGAGACCCTTTGGCGCTGCTGTTTGCAGAGTCGACTCGCCGAGCTCGTCCTGGTCCGCGTGGGAGAGCCGTTCCACGCCCCGGACCTGCAGCTGGGAGGAAGTCGTCGAAATCGAAATCACCGCAGTCCAGAAGAAAGACACCCCACTTTGCTTCCAAACTTTGGATGGTTCTAGAGTTCTAGACTACACTTTAGATCCAAAGGTCGTCCAGGAAGCCTTTGGGTGTAGAGTTCGCAGTTTTGCCACGACAAAGCCTCTGACGTCATTCGCATTGTATGACAGCTCGTCATGCTAGCTGTTTTCGCAGTTGTTACTTACAAGGAAAAACACAACACAGTACTTTGACATGTATATTATATATATTAATATTATATAATGATATAAGCAATTGTGGACGGATTGGACCGACAACATTTTCTGGCCTTAGGGTACAGCACCACACCACTGTTGTTTGCCTTACGTGTGAACCGAAACCGGGCATTTCGACCATGGCTTAGATGCCGCATGGTGGAAAATCCCCGCGCGCACCGTAGCATGAAGACCTGACAGAGCTGTCCTGGACACTGAATGGCACTGAGCTAACATGTGCTCTCACACTCGAATTACATCGCACTCCAACGCACTGGACGTCCAATCACTCAAATTGTTGATTCAGGGATTCTCCCCAAGACCATCTTCACCAAAGCACATTGTGGGATGAACCAAAGGTTCCGAACAGCATGTAATAGGCTGGCCTGACATGATATTGCTTATTGTTCTGCTTATCTCATGAGGATGATGTGCTATGCTGCTATTGGAGCGTAACCCTTGGGAGGAGAACCATTTAATCGGGCACATCTGGGTAGTTTCACACTCCTAAAACAACATACACAATCGCCAAGGGGGTGACTCAGGATCCGCACCAACATCAAATGGGTATGTTCATCCCACATCCCAGAGCATTCCGTGCAACACCTGCCAATACAAGCTGATCAACCAATGAACCTTCATTTGACGCCAGGAGCTTTGAGACTGGAATAATTGGACACTGGATTCCTTTCGTGAAAACCATGGGGTTCTACGGTTCTAGAAACGGCATTGGCCCTGCGGTGATGAGCTGAACGGCCCTGTCACAGTTCTACTTCCATCAGCTGAGGCGCTCTTTGGATGAAGGTTTGCGAAGGCTTCCATGGCAAGACTTCCTTCAGGCCCTTTGCAATGGTAAGAGGGTGCTTTTTGCAATGGTAGGAGCTTGTTACTCCCAGAAGAGGACTTGGTACACCATAAAATCTGATGGATTCCTCCAGGGTTCCTACGTGCAGACATTCTCATAAGACAGTTTGTCCACTGGGGGTGGTGTTGCGCTTGGCCTGAGAAAAGCTGTCCCGGATACACTTGAAAAGAAAGAAACGCAAAGCAACCAGCTCTTGGACCAACTGCTCGAACACAGTCTCTGCGGCCTTCAGCATTGACATGGATACGACCGCCACGCCTCTGCACTAATTTTGAAGGCTGGCGGCTGGACGTCAAGACATTTTCTGTAGCCGCTACTGCCAAGCCAAAACTTAAGAATTCTGCGGAGCAGGAAGCTATCTGGAGACGAGAGCTTTCTGTTGCAACTTGCCATCGCCACAGATGTCCTTCAATGCCCGCATGTACCCGAAATCCGAAGGTTTTGGGCGGTCCAACTGCACATCTAAGCGCTGAGACCGTAGCTCAGACCGCCCGAAACCGCCCGAAACCTGGCTGTACCGGATCGATCGCCCAGATCGAAGCAGCTTGGACGCACACCGGCAACCCCAAAACCGCCCCACCTGGCAGTCCGATGATGGGCTCAGGTTTTTGAGGTCAGGGGGGTACCTAGAAATGGTAGGGGCGGGGTGTCAAGGAAGAACTGGTGGTAGGGTTGTGCAGAATGCGACAGTGAAACACACATTCCTCTGAAAACACACCCCAGATTTTTGAAGACAGCATGTCCTGTCTGTCTGCCACCATGCAAAAGGCAGAACAAGCAACGCTCCGAATCCCCAAAGGAATCTAAAGGATATTTTGGATGCATGTGATTGAAGTACTAGGAACAAGAAGCTAGGAGCAAAGGGCATCGCTACTAGGAGCAAGGACGCTACTAGGGGCTCCTGCCTTACTAGGAGCAAGGACGCTACTAGGATATTTTGGATGCACAGCTGCTGTTCAGCTCTGGACTTGCTTTACACGCCCTGCTTGCTGGCTGTCTTTCCCGCCAATGTCGTGTGGAGAGGCCTCCAGCAAACCGATCATCAAGGTCTCCAGTGAAGCTTGACCAAACGGACAGCACGGAAAGGAGGGAGTCGCAAGTGAACCGCCTGTTAGCCCCAGCGGTTTGTTTTAAGGCTTGGGCCTTCCTTCGGTACTCAGCCCTCTTCATCAGGTTTCTCAGCACTAGGGGATTTCACATCCCAATCCAACTGTTGGCTTTTGGTACTTTAGGTGCTGCTGAAAGGGAGGTTTACTTTTCTGGTGCAGCCTTTCGCTTCACTGCAACTGGCTTTCTATGAGGTATGCTTAGGAACTCAGTTGAGTCCTGACTTCCCTTTCTGATGACGGGTTGCCATCGAGTAATTACTTGTTCAACACCCGCTGATAAGTGAGGTGAGGTAGCAAGCGATCCCTTGGTTCAAGTTGAAGACATGTTCTTTTTCCCGAATGCGTAGCGAAGGGTTCCCGTTTATAGTTGGGGGTCTGGGGGTTGGATCTGTGTTTGCATGGCTTGCGTCGTGTCGTCGTCTCTCGTCGTCTCTCGTCGTCTCTCGTCGTTTGTCGTCGTTGTCGCGTCTCAAATTTGCTGCCATTGGGGGAAGCTTTTGCAAGTGACTTTGCATGGATGCGTCATATGTTAGTTTGCGCCGCTATTCCATTGTCATTTGCATGACAATGACATGTCGCGCAAGAAACGTGATGCATTTCGCTGCACAGGCTCAGCGTTTTGTGAGATCTGCAGTTTGCTGCGCAGTTCCATTGGGATTAGCGTTTGGAGAGTCGTGTTTTTGGGGTGTTGGATGTGGCCGTGCCATTGGGATTTGCGTTTCAGGGTGTGGCATCGAAGCTCGGTTTTCGTGACAAGTCTCAGCTGAAATGGCGATTTTGGTGGATGGCAGTGTGCCCAGAACGGATCGAAATCATTCCAAACGTGTGGTGTGGTGCAAATTTTGTTGAAGCTCACATGAGATGATATTGTCACTTTTCGTGGCAGGCGCAGGACTTTGTGCGGGTTTTGAGGCGTGGAAGTGCGATTCTCGTGGCAGGCGCAGGGAATCGTGAGGTTGCGAGGTGTGACGGAGGTGACATTTCGTGGCAGGCGCAGTACTTTGTGCGTGTTAGACGTGTGGACGCGGAAAGATTCGTGGCAGGGGCAGGGAATCGTGAGGTTGTGAGTTGTGGTAGAGGTGAATGTCGCTGTCACATTGGGATTGGCGTGTGAGCGGATGTTGTTTGGAGGGGCTGGCATCGCGAAACTGCTTGGCAGGGCTGCGTGATGTGTGTGCTCCGATGGGTGTTTCCGCTTGACTTTTGGAGGAAGTCTCGTACGAAACGCTCGTTTTGCAGACTTTGACGTGTGAGTTATTGAGGAAGTCTCGTACGAAACGCTCGTTTTGGAGACTTGACGCGCAACCCTCTGCGGAGATCATGCGTGTCGAGTGTGCGAAATGCAGGCGAGAGTGCGATTTGTCCCATGCGCGCGCAACCCTCTGCGGAGATCGTGCGTGTCGAGTGCGCGAAATGCACGAGGAGTGCGATTTGTCCCATGCGCGCGCAACCCTCTGCGGAGATCCTGCGTGTCGAGTGCGCGAAATGCAGGCGAGGGTGCGATTTGTCCGGTGCCCGCACCACCCTTTGCGGAGATCGTGCGTGTCGAGTGCGCGAAATGCAGGCGAGAGTGCGATTTGTCCGGTACCCGCGCAACCCTCTGCGGAGATCATGCGTGTCGAGCGCGCGAAATGCAGGCGAGCACTAGCGACTTTGTAGTACAACTTTAGTACGCGGAGTATCTGGGGAGCTGGAACAAGAGTGTCCCACAAGAGTGTCCCGCAACAGTGTCCCACTAGAGTGTCTCACAAGAGTGCCCCTTAAGAGTGTCCTACAGGAGTATCCCACAAGAGTGTCCTACAAGAGTCTCCCACAAGAGTGTCCCACAAGAGTGTCCCAGCCAGAGCGTCCCACAAGAGTGTCCTACAAGAGTGTCCCACAAGAGTTTCCTACAAGAGTGTCCCACAAGAGTGTCCTGCAAGTGACCCACAAGAGTGTCCCACAAGAGTGTCCTACAAGAGTGTCGTGTAAGAGTGTCCCACAAGAGTGTCCTGCAAGTGACCCACAAGAGTGTCCTACAAGAGTGACCCCCAAGAGTGTCCCGCAACAGTGTCCTACAAGAGTGTCCCAGAAGAGTGTCCCACAAGAGTGTCCTACAAGAGTGTCCCACAAGAGTGTCCTGCAAGAGTGTCCCACAAGAGTGTCCCACAAGAGTGTCCCACAAGAGTGTCCTATAAGAGTGTCCCACAAGAGTTTCCTACAAGAGTGACCCACAAGAGTGTCCTACAAGAGTGTCCCACAAGAGTGTCCCAGAAGAGTGTCCCAGAAGAGTGACCCCCAAGAGTGTCCCACAAGAGTGTCCCACAAGAGTGTCCCAGAAGAGTGTCCCGCAACAGTGTCGCTCAAGAGTGTCTCACAAGAGTGTCCCTTAAGAGTGTCCCACAAGAGTATCCCACAAGAGTGTCCTACAAGAGTGTCCCACAGGAGTTTCCTGCAAGAGTGTCCCACAAGAGTGTCCCACAAGAGTGTCCTACAAGAGTGTCGTGTAAGAGTGTCCCACAAGAGTGTCCTGCAAGTGACCCACAAGAGTGTCCTACAAGAGTGTGTCACAAAAGTGTCCCACAAGAGTGTCCTACAAGAGTGTGTCCCACAAGAGTGTCCCGCAACAGTGTCCCACTAGAGTGTCTCACAAGAGTGTCCCTTAAGAGTGTCCTACAGGAGTATCCCACAAGAGTGTCCTACAAGAGTGTCCCACAAGAGTGTCCCACAAGAGTGTCCCAGCCAGAGCGTCCCACAAGAGTGTCCTACAAGAGTGTCCCACAAGAGTTTCCTACAAGAGTGTCCCACAAGAGTGTCCTGCAAGTGACCCACAAGAGTGTCCCACAAGAGTGTC